TTCGAAGGGGTTTTCCATCTGTTTTTCTGTGTTTAGGAGGAGTGATTCGTCCCATTCAGCTTCGCCACTTTTTCCATTTAGCATAGCTGTCTACATCTTTCAGGGTATTGAGCTCTAATTCTTGTAGGTCTGCCCAGTAAGTGGTCTGAGTTCCGACTTCTGCCGTGATTCTCTTTGTTTTGTCCTGAACCAGGTCTGTCTGTATCCCAATTTCGTTTGCCCGTTTCCCTGCCTTGTTACTCCCAGTTGTTTGTGTTCCCATCATCATTAAGATGTCTTGCATTTCGGTCGTCATTAGTAATGTACATGCGTTTCTTATTTTCGGCAGCCGTATCCTTACCCAGCTAACACAAAAACATCCCATCTACGTTAATAAGCTGCAATATTAGGCTCTTTAAGCTCGCATGCGATGTACTTTTACTGTAACCCTATTATCCCTGCAACCACCGAATGTCCGCAACGGCAAGACTTTTATAGCACATCTCACAGAGGTTACAAAATTGAAGTTCGGAAAACATCACACTAGCACTTTTACGGTACTTACCCCGAAAGTTGCTCTGAAACTTTCTATAGATGTTATAATGTGAATTCATTCTACAGCATTATACAGTGTGTCTACGGATGGATTTAACAATACTTGTAAAAATATTTATTTTAAATTTAAAAGTACTTCTTTATAATTTCTTTTGCTTGTTAAATAAATACGATTAACGTTGAGAAATTATGAAAGACCTCTTGAAAAATTTAAAATAAATATCTTTACAAGTATAGTTATGTCCATTCTCGGATACACTATATTCAAAATAGTATATTGAGGATATAGTAAAATCTGAAGAAAACAAAATAAAAAATTGTATAAATTTATTATTAAAAAGCTTTTGAAATCAAGAACCAATATCATACAAGTAGAGGTAGGTATTAATAATATAGGTAAAAAAACACTGACAAATTGGACAAAAGTAGGTATAAAGGGTATATAAGGAATATCTCAAAGGTTCTCTAGAATCGAAAACACTGAACGCTTGCACGAAAGAGTATAATAAGGTACCTATATTGCAAAGGTTCACTGGTAGCTAAAATGGTGCACGATTGTACAAAAGTAGTAAAAAGTGTATTTATATAAGGTATATTTCAAAGGTCACTAGATTTTTATTAAGATGGCAGTTGTAGGATGCTAAAAAAAGATATTTGCCTACAACTGGTACTAATCATAGTTTTAATATGATATAACTTGCTTAAACTGAATATTGATAAATGTAAAGTCATAAGGTTTAATAAAACAGCTAATATCATTATGCATGATTGTCATTGCAGGTTCTGAACTAAGTTTTGAGCAAACTATAAATGATCTTGATGTTATTTTTGAGAGGGACCTATAAGAGTTTGGAATGCAGATGTCGAGAAGCATCATTTGTTTTCCTGTATAAGTTATTGAACGGTTTGATTGATAGTGACAGCCTGGTACACTTTATTAGATTCCTTGTTCCTGCCAGACTTACTAGGCATATGAAACTATTTTATGTAAATGCTCATAGAACTAACTATGGACAGAATTTATTTGTAGACCAACTGATGTCCAATTACAATGAGTATTTTTCAAATTATGACATTTTAAAAGGTTTATTTTTTTAAAGTGTCAACTTTTATTACACTATTGACTTCATTTTTATACTGTGACAATTTTATTAATTTCTTTTTTCTACACCCGTATTATAATAATGCACTTATATGCCCATAATCCGTTTCATAATGATACCCATTATGATACAGATTTTTCATTACGATACAGATTTTTAATCAATAGAAACCTACAATTTTTCAATCAAGCATGCTGTTTGACGTTTGTCCTAGGTTCCTATGTAATTGCTTTAGTTGTCAAAACGTATTAAATTTTCGTAGGTAGCTAAACTTCGATAATTATAATATTAAAATGTCTGATATTAGCGATATAGAAGACTCCTCCACACATATCGGAGAAAGCAGAAAATACAGTACAAAATATTTTACCGCAAAAATCTAGGGAAATACCAATACCTGAAGTAATACCATTAATTACAATTTTGTAGATTTTTTTATAGAAATACGAGTAATTACTGTTATTGTGTTTAATACCAATATAAATATAATATTTATAGGTCTTGATTATTTATCGGGTGTAGAAAAAATAGCGTATGCAACTCTCATGTAATGGTTATTACATGATCGTTGCATAATATACTATTTTATTTTATTTTGATATTTTAACCATTTAGAACTTTATGTATCCGTAGCGTACTGTAAACAAATAAATATGTGAACTTAATTACATAGTTTCTTCCGTAAAAATAACTTTGTAGATAATAAATTTACTTGTTTAATTATTATTAAGAAAATAATATATATAAAGAAAATGAAAAATATGCTCGTTTAAATCGTTGCACCTATTTTTAGTTGATTTTTACTTACTTTGTTTTTTAAATAAATAATAACATTTATTTTGACTTTTACAAATTTGATACTTAATAATGGATGTTCAACTTATACAGAACAATGTTTTTTAGCATGATAATTCTGCTATGAAAGAAAAAGAAATAATCTCAGATGTTATATATTCTTCTTCAACCAATTCTGTATTAACTTTAGCTTCTAAAATTCCTGAGATTTTTACTAGAATTATAATCCAGCACAAAGGAAACCTAAAACACAATATTTTTAAAATTTATTTTTAGTGATTAAAATATTATTACACTAAGGCGACCATACTTACAGCAATTTTTCTGTACTGTAAAGCATTTTTAAAATTTGTTTAGCAATTGGTATTGTGCAGCAAACGTACAGCAAAATGGCATAGGTATATATCCAGTGAAATGCTGTATTTATCCACCAAAACGTCACTACTGTCCAGCAATGGTAATACTTAATTTACTGAAACGTAACAAATTTAAATGTTATTTATCTTTAGTGAACTACATGAGCACTTCTATACTGCCGTTCTAGCAAGAAAGGTTTTATCTGCAAAATTAGCAGTTTTTTTTTATGTGCATTTGTCTACATTTTATCTTTCTCGATACTGAAATGGAATGTCTTATTTGCAACAAAGGTACTAAAATGTTAAAAAGTTACACAAAAAAAAGGTTTAAAAGATAATAAATATAAATTTTCAGATAGGACTTCTCTGTTTTTGTATTTTTATAGTTGAGAGTAGGGTTATGAGTATCGGTCAAAGGTATCAATACCGGAATCATGTGAGATACTTTGTGGTAGAGACATCGATACAGTTCTATATTATGTTAAAGATATTGATATTTATAAGTCTCGAGTAACAAAGTATCGAAAAAGTAGAAGATTTTTTTTAAACGGCTGACAACCCCCATTCAACAGGACGGAGTAGGGAACTTAACTAATAACAAGAGTGCATCAGTAAAGTATATTCTGTAGTTGACACCTTTTCTTTCTCTACTGGTACAAGTTATAGTGTTAATAACTGGCAATTTACCTTATAATTAAATAACAAAAAAACAGTGGTAACGCTTAATCATATTACCAAGTTTCACCACATGCAAAAACTAAAATATTTCAGTACAAATATTTGAACAAACCTTATAATCTCTGACCACACACATAGGAATACAATACTTGCTTCTAAGTATCACTATGGCGATAGTATTGGTAATTCAGTATCAGTGCCTAAATATCGATACTTTCATTGTTTAATATCGTTACTTCTATTGTATTAAGGCATCAATAAGATCCCTATTATCGTGTAAAATAAATATAAGCACTAATAAGCAGTCATTTAATTGTATCTACTTGTTTACAATGATTTATTTTTTATTGTATTTGCCAATTGAAATTTTACCATCTAAAACAACAGACAATAAATTAGAAAATATGTATCTATTTTATTGAAAAGAAGAAAACAACTTACCAAACTTATTCAAACGTATAGTTTCCAATTTCTTTAAAATCTCAAATACGTACAAGAAAAAGTGACAAGTGACATTTTTTTATGTTTTGTTGGTTATGACAAATGAATGGCTACGTTCGAAAACAAGATTATGTCTATAGTACTTCTCGTGGAAACTTTTTTAGCAAGTTACTTAATTACGTTGTGTTATCATAACAGGCAGGTTAAATACGTAAGTAACAAATAGATGTTTCGCGAGGTTTTGATTTCCCTCAACAACTTCTCATTAACGTTGCAATTACGTTGTATGGGTATGTTATTATGTTCCCTTAAAACAACATCGCCGAAAGGCTTGGCAACGTTATGTGCTAGCTGGGTAATGTCTTCCTCTGTGTTGAAAATTGTCTTGTTAAGGCTTCTAGAATGGGCGATGTATCTCTTCCTCATCTTTTTCATTGTTCTCTTCTTTATCCACGTTATATGCTTCTAGTTTTCTTTTTTTTTAGTTGACCTGTTTATCGTTTCGTCCCAGGCAAAATTAAAAATTGCCGTATTTCCTTTTGGAGTCGTTGCTGGAAAGTCTAGTGACTTTGACGGAGATATAACGACCGATAATTTCCAGATATTCTTTTTTGTCTCATCTCTTCCAGTTTCAATACCTGTAGCAGCAGCAGCCTGGTCGCTCGCTTGTTTCTGCAGTACATCAGTCTGGTTCCCCCCCCCCTTTATGTATAAAAAAAATATATTCTTTATAAAAAACCTCTCATTCCAAACCAGCAGCATGAACGGCACCTTGGATATATGTTAATTTTATAATAATATATACCACTTGTTGTAGTCGCTGGTTAAGGAATGAGAGGTTTTTTTATAAAAAATATATTTTTTATACTGGGTGGTGCTGTTGTAGCTGCTGGAACAAAAACAATGTGTTTTTGCGACAAGCTTCCAGTATGTTTAGATTCAAAACCGATGCTGCTGATAAAAAATTCCCTGTATATTGTGCAATTATATTATATAGAATAGTAGGGAATTGAATTTTTTGTCGTTTTTAAACACTGGAATATCCAGGAAATTATACCTTAATTTTCTAATCACTTTATTTAATAAAATGCATGTTCCATTAACATTATACATTAATAATAAAGAAAAATAGATTACCTACTTGTAAATAGCCAATTTGAATAACAATATTAAACGTATTTATGTGTTTTGTGCCAAAATCATACTCTAAATCATTGACCATTCCAATTAGAGAAAAAATCGTAAGCGAAATTGAGATTAAACAAAAGAAAAACGACTTGATGCTGTAGGTTTTCTGTTTAGGCCACATGAAAATTTGTCGAAACATTACTTTTGGTATCCACAGGAACATTTTAGCATAATCTTTCGTTTTTAAAATTTTAAAAGCAAAATCTGAAAATAAATATATTATCTTAAAAACATTAAACATTACATATTAGTGATTAGCGTTGATGCGTTTTGTTTATAATAAAACGGTGGAAAGAATCAGGAAAAATAAATGGTTTTTAAAAATTATCAAATAAAAACTGACCTAACCCGTAACTGAAAATTTCAAATTCCTAGTTTATATTTTTTTTTTTTTTGGAGTGAGGGTAGCCATATGTGAGTAGTAGGGATTAAGTGTAAAGGTTAAAGAAAAAGTCCTTTATTTCTCACAAAGTCAATTTATTGGCGACCGGTTTCGAAGTTGTCACTTCATCATCAGGCACACCTAAATGGAATATCAAGGAGTCAGTTGTAATAAAAACAATTATAAAAGCATAAACGGACTTTAACATATACAAAATAACAGAAAAAACACAAAAGAAAGTTAAACAATAACCTTGACTCACCTTGACTAATTCCATAAAGGAAGCGCTACAAAAAGTTTAACAGAACGAGTTAAAAAAGTCATGTGTAATAAGTATTTTTTTAAAAAATGTTTTAAATGTAGGTTAGGTTAAACCACCAGATGTCTTTTTGAATAAAATAATTAATTAAAACACATTTAAGACAATTATTAACTAAACAACACAAAATAGTTTTACAAGCACAAACAGTTTAAAAAATTTTAAGGAAATAATGTTAATTACTGAAAGTAAAAAGTAAAAAAGTAAAAATTATCAGACTGTCAAGACATCTATCTAGATTTTTAACGAATCAATGCAGTAAACTGTAAATTTTAAATTAGCGGATAAATAGTGTACTAATGGAGGTGTTATTTACTGAAAGTGAGTATAGGTGGCGATGACAAAATTTATTGAAAGTAAAATATATTAAACTGAGAATGAGAAAACAAAAAATTTTTATACTAACAAGAAAATTAGAACACTAAACAAGAAAATATGAAAATTCATATGTAAAAAGGGAAAATTTGAAGCAGATAATCAAAAAGAAAATTAAGTAATTTTTTATATTTTTTCCAAATTAAAAAAGAATGTTTTTATCTGTAATTGAATCCGGGTTGGGAAATCCAAACTTGAACGCTTAACGACTTAAGTCTTGAAGGCACTTATATCAAGTTAATTATCTAATCAAATATATGACGTGGCTTTTAAAAATACCATCATTGTGCGCTCCACTGCTGGTGTGTCCATCTTCTACAAGAGAGAAAGAAGGAAACATTTGTAAAGTTGTCTTGCACAAATGTGTACCAAAAATGGGCAACTTGCTCTCATAAGCCTTTTTCGTTTAATCGTCTCATTATTTGAACACTAAACGCCAGCATGAGAAATATATGTTAAAGTTAGTTTTAAGAACTTTTTACATTCAAATAAACAAAAACAATTTATAAATCTATTATTAAAATCCGCGTTGGAACAAAACATGTAAAATTGTTGAATTTGAAAGATATTCTAAAAAGGGAAAGGACTATTGGACAGAATATTCAGTTCAATCAATGACAATTATTTATATTACTATTCTTAAATATTTTGATGTTTAATTTACTTGTAAATTTATGTGTGAATATATTTATAAATTACACTGGTCACCAGTGATTTTGTGGACGGGGGTTTAAGAGCGTTTTTGGGCGATCGTTTTACCGATTTCAAATCGCTTCTCCAGCCTATAAATCTTCAATTTAAAAAGAATAAAATAAAGTAGTTCTGTCTAAAACTAAAATAAATTTGCTATCTCGATTATTTCCAAACTTTTCCTTAACGCCTTAGTTATAAGTTTCATATTACATTTTTTTTATTTGCTATTTCTGTGGAATCATTAATTTTCACTTGCGTTCTGGTTCTTCTAAAAAAGCGAAATGTTACTCACGTTTTGCTTGATTGGCTTTAATTTTTTAGATAGTCAACCAGTCGAAATAAAAAAAATTCAAAAAATAATAAGACATATTATTTAATCAGTTTTGTCTGAGCCCCGGTCTGAGCTAACTAAAAGGCTGTATTCTATAAACAATGAAAAATAGTGATTGTTTTTTGAACTACTTAAAACATTTTCACTCAAACTGCGTGCGTGATTCAATTTAAAAATACTTTCCAGAATAAAACCACGTGTTACAGTTTTGACTTTATTACTAAACAGCCCAGTCATATACAAAAACATTAATCCAAAATCTAAATTAAAAGTACCTAATAATAAATTGCCTATCTACTAGGGTCGGTAACCAAATGTATAAACAGAATGGGCGGATTTTGTTCATACTTAACATTACACTCCGCACTGACACTTAACCTGGATTAAATATAACTATAAATACAAATATTTACAAACAAATATACTTTTCCAAACAGTGATAATTTATAAAAAAAATGTTTTTTATAAGATTTTCTTTTATGTTCAAAGTTAGGACTTTATAATTATTGTGTCGTTCGTAGAATTCTGTACTAAATAAGAGCACTGATTTTGGAAATAAATTTTCACCATTTTGGCAAAATGTTGAACCTTGTAACATTGCATAATGAAATATAAAGACTAACTGAATATGTCTGCCACAGATAGACCACTTGTAGGTCTATCGATTTCGTCTTGAGCTATTCCTAAAGAGCGGAGCTATTGAAAACTTCCTTTCAACGTGATTTATTTCAACACTCAGAGCCAGCCGAGAGAACATTTTTTCTTATATTCATGGTCAACAGCCAAGATACATTTGGAAGTCGCTAATATATCCCTGTGACTATTTTTTTTAATTTGTTTTCCAGTGTTGATTGTTGATTGATTTATCCCTGATTAGTGATTTTCTTGTTCCTTAACTCAATACCTTGCAAACTGTTGATAGCTTTAGTAAAATTTTGTAGCAAAGCTTGTTCAAATTTTGAAAACTATAAAAATATTCAGCTATTTTTATGGTTATAAACTTTTCCAACACTTAGTCCAATTAGAGGTACTTAGATTACATGCAACATTTTCAGAAGCTTATTCCTTTTTTGTATTCTACTTGGAACTTTTCAATTTATTTAAAACATTGGACATTGTTATCAGTTGTTATTGTTTATATATTTTGACATAACCGCACATAACCAAAATATTGACCAAAGTCCTTGACCACTTTTTATCACCTTAATCCAAAAATTATATTTGTACGGTTTTGTCAACTGGAATAAATTTTCATTATTATGTTTAATTTTTCATATCTTTTATTATGAATTGTTATTTTTAAATAAATAAAGACGTTTTTAACTATAATAGGTAGGTGATAGAGGCCATGTACCTGAACGAAAAGAAGACGTAGATGGCGTATCTGCATAGGATTAAAAATTGACTACTTCATTAAATCGTCACTAGATGCCGCTCGAGATTGCGTCCAACACTTTTTACTGTTGCATTATCCTACTATATAATCTTCATACAACGATTTTACTTTCAATAAATTTTGTCATCGCCACCTATACTCACTTTCAGTAAATAACACCTCCGTTAGTACACTATTTATCCGCTAATTTAAAATTTACAGTTTACTGCATTGATTCGTTAAAAATCTAGATAGATGTCTTGACAGTCTGATAATTTTTACTTTTTTACTTTTTACTTTCAGTAATTAACATTATTTCCTTAAAATTTTTTAAACTGTTTGTGCTTGTAAAACTATTTTGTGTTGTTTAGTTAATAATTGTCTTAAATGTGTTTTAATTAATTATTTTATTCAAAAAGACATCTGGTGGTTTAACCTAACCTACATTTAAAACATTTTTTAAAAAAATACTTATTACACATGACTTTTTTAACTCGTTCTGTTAAACTTTTTGTAGCGCTTCCTTTATGGAATTAGTCAAGGTGAGTCAAGGTTATTGTTTAACTTTCTTTTGTGTTTTTTCTGTTATTTTGTATATGTTAAAGTCCGTTCATGCTTTTATAATTGTTTTTATTACAACTGACTCCTTGATATTCCATTTAGGTGTGCCTGATGATGAAGTGACAACTTCGAAACCGGTCGCCAATAAATTGACTTTGTGAGAAATAAAGGACTTTTTCTTTAACCTTTACACTTAATCCTAGTTTATAATTTTATTCAAATACATTATTAAAATAGTTCTGTGTTCTAAATATATAATAATAAAATTATAATAAGTTTTTTAAGAATGGGCCATATTCACATGTGAGATATGCTGTTTTATAAATTATATTGTAATAGTTAGTCGCTATACAAGTTATTCTAAATAATCAGTTCGTTAAAAAAGCCAAAAGTTTTTAAATTAAGCCCAATTGAAATTTAAAATTTGAAATTATACGTCATTGGGAATAGACCAATCAGCTTGTGTCGGAAGTTTTTTTTGTTATACAAAACCAAGCCAACGAACAAACCGACACACAGAATGTCGAAGTGAACGCACCTCTAAGTGACATTTAAATTGACATCACCTAACCTAACATTAGTTTTTACATCTGGATTTATAAAAGTTGAATCAAGTACTTTACCCATTGTAAACCAAAATATGATTACCGAGATGATTACTGCATTTTTTAACAATACTCAGTTTACAAAAGACAGAAAGGTAAGTATTTATAATTTGTTTTAATAGTAGGTAGTTACAGTTTATATGGAGCAATACACCTTATAGTAAAACATAATATATCATGTTTACCTCAAAAATTAAAACTAAATAATATCTAAAAATGTATTTAGAAGGGTAGGGTGCAAGTATTTACTGCAATACAGTTTTTATTTGGTTGAAAATTACCTACTTGCTACATATCATTGTAAATAATATTGTAATTTAAGTACATTTTTGTATATGCATATCTACTTTTTGTAATGGTACATACACTCTTTTATTATGTTTATGTTTTATGAAATAATTTGGAACACAGAAAAATAATAAAAATTAGTAAAAATATCTAATAATTAGGCCAAATATTTAGAGTAGGGCTCTTGAAAATACTTAAAAATTAATCACTTTATTAAATAATGTTTTATTTTTAGATCTGCCAAGCAAAAATATGGAGATAATTACTTTTTCCATGTACAACTTAAGAGAGAAGGAGATATTTACACAGTAAAAGGACAAATTACACCTAAACATAAAGTAGGGCAAAAACTTTATGATGCGATTGTTGTAATTAACAAAAATGAAATTTTTAGTGCACAATGATTAGGATATGCTGCATCTCAAGGTTTGTAATATTTATTATGCTTTTTTGTTTTTATATCACATATAATAAACAGTGTATAAGGCCCTTTATTCTTATAAATATTTTTTTCTAATTTTGACATATAAAGAGACATTTTTTGTAATCGCAGCAAGTGTTAAAATAATCTAGAAATAGATTTTGTTAGTGAACCTAATAATAATTATGATACCAAAGAATGCTGCCTATGAAATTTTGAGTTAAAACATATGCCATATTTTTAGGCTATTTTTATACCCCTTTCAAAAATTTTCTCGTTTTCTGCAAAACTCAAAATGCTCTGATAGCTTCAAACGAAGTCAGCAGAGCACCTCTGTTTTATAAAGTTTTTTTCTTTAAAAACAGCAACACCTTATTTTTATGCACTTGAAATATCATTAAAAAAAAATGATATTTTTAAAAAATATATGGTTCTTGCTAACCTTCGAAAGAAGCCAGTAGAGCAATTCGGTTTTTTAAAGCTTTTTTCTAAAAACCACACTCCATTTTTAGAGTCTTGAAATATTGTAAAACTTTACTAAAAAAATTGCTATTTTTAAATAATACAGGGTGCTTTGTTGGAACAAAGTCAGCAGGACACTTCAGTTTTTTAATTTGTTTTTTTTTATATATATAAAAACAACTACTTATGACACATGTTTAGGCTGTTTTAAAATCCTAAAAATGTGTTAAGTATATTTGTTTTCAGAAAAAAAACTTTGAAGTCAGCAAGGAATTGCGAATTTTTTTAAAAATGTCAAATTTCGAATATTTTATATTTTAGGAACCAAAAAACGTGGTGTGGTTTAAAAAAAAACTGGAGTGCTCTGCTGGATTCGTTTGAAGCTAACAAAGCATCCCGTAATTTTTTATTTTATAATACTCAATAGCCTAAAATGAGACATAGCTGTTTAAACAAAAAATTGTACTTTTAAAAATAGCAGTTTTGTTCGAAAAGCTCTATATTTCAAAAATGTGAAAATGTGGTGAGATTGTTTTTTTTTAAAGTTTTGAAAATCCGAGGTTCTTTACTGGATTCGTTCAGAGCTAGTAAAGCTCTGCTCGTCTTGTTACATAAAATAAGGCATTTTGTAGCTGGTTATATAGTTATTTTGTAACTGCATACCTAATCCTTTTATTTTTTTCAGGTGGTTGTAAACATGTGGCTTCATAGAAGAAGTGAGAACATCTACTCAGTGTTATTGGAAAGGCTCTAATTTATCAAAATGCGTAAATATTGATGTACACTTGGCTAGATTGTTAAAGAAACCTCTTCATCCACTACAGGAAAATAAATCAGTACTTTTATATTCTTTCATATTCTTAGGATTTGTATATATATTTTTTATTTGTAAATAAATTGTTTTTTACTTCATTTTTCTCATTTTTTATTAAAAGGTTAATAAATAAAATTTTCACAGATTTTTATATTTTTGTTTGTAAACAATAATTGAAGAGTTTTTATTAAAAATCACCAATGTTAATAATAATAACTTAATTCAATATTATTCTTTCTCCTTTTTTAAAGCTACTATCAATAAAGGTATTACTTTAGCTTGACCTACAATCAATGTTTAATTTTGTGCAATATTTGGTTTGACAGAGAAAACATTATAATCCTTTGACATTAGTTGTTTTTACTTAGATTTCCATAAAAAATAAACAGAACTGCAAACATGTTTTACTATCGTAATAACGAATAGCAACATTAAATTTTTTTTTCACATTTATCACTGTTGTCATTTTCGTCAAGGATTGATAAGAAGGCACACTTGCTGGTTTTTTTAAAAAGATGGCAAGAATTGTGATATTTTTAAATTTATCACCAGTGATACCACATGTAGTAGTTACCTGACTTATTGGAATATATAGACTTTGCTGCCACATTCAACTGAACTTGGTTGTTTTTAATATTTATCACTGTGACATAGGCTGTTTTTGTTACAATGTTTCATTTTAAACTGCTGTAAATAGGTGCCTTTGGTTTGGTAGTTTTAGTCCCAAAAAGATCTATGCATATACAGGTACTTATTCCGCTTTGATTTGCTCGAAAAGTTAAAATTTTATAAAAAATTGGCTGTTTAAAAATCCTTCATTATAATCTATGAAATGTGGTAATTAGGTAAATTAAATTAAAAAACAAATAAAAAAAGTTTATTAAATTAATATTTACTCTTACAAAATAGGTTCTTGTAAGTTAACAATACCACAAGCAATTATGCAGATATTACTAAGTAAATGTACTTGCTTAAAATTCACACAGGACTGTGGTTTTAACATGTGAAATTCCTTAACCCTTCTTATAACTCTTTCCACGTGTATTCTTAGAGATGCTATTCTTTTACTTAATTGTACATCTTCTGGAGCACTTTTTTCATTCTGTGATACACTAGGTGGCCTTACTTAAAGTGCATCCCATGTTTTTAAGTAATGACTGAATATTCTTAAACCCCCTATCTGCCATTAAATGGGATCCAGGAACCAGTTTGTTTAAATACCCACTTTAGGTTATACACCTAAGAATTTATAGTAGCCTCATTTTGAATTTCCTGAAGGAGACAATTAGCAGAAATTGCCGTTACATCTTGAATATCCGGTGTATTTTAATTAAAAAGTTGACGAGAAACATCGCTAGTAGAAGGTTGATTTTCTTCTTTCCGAATTTCTAGGAACACTAATAAATATTTTTGAAGATGAATGTGAATCATTATCACATTCTGGAACAAAATACTTTTTCGAAGTCATAATATTTATAAAAAGTACAAAATAAACACTCAAATTCGAAATAAAAGCCATATTCGAGCGGTCTCTTTGGTTTAAATAAATTTTCAACAACTTTTAGAACCAGTTTTAATACTACGTCATAAATTTTGAAAGGGCTCAAATAAATGATTTTAAAACAGTGATGTCACTGTTAAGTTAACGATTTGTGAGTTTGTAAATCTCTAGCAACAAATAATTTTTGCCTCATATGTCAAAGAGAACCTCACCAGAGTTTTATGAAAAATGGCTCGGTATATTTAGAATTTGACTTTAACCAGTTATTTGGAATTACAAGGTCAAGTTCTCAAACATTCCTTAAAATTATAAACCTTCATAATTATGCATTTTCTATTTTTTCTTATGACCATAATATAAATAATCTGTTTAATCACGAATTTTATTGTCTTTGCTACCCTCTATGATGTTTGTTATTATTTTTGACATTAATGGCATTTCTATTTCCTCGAACCGTTCTTAATGAAACGTTTCAAAAACAGATGCAGCTGGTTTAAACCTAATTTAACTTGACGTCATTGTTTTGTCATTCGAATGGGAATAGTTCAAATCGTTTTCAAATAGCATGAAATATATTTAAATAAGTTGACCGCTCGAATATGGCTAAATTCTTGATCGAGACACTATGACAGATGGCATACAGTGCTGCCATTTTGCCATTTTCTGAATTATTAAATGACTTTTAAAACAATGAAACTTTAAATGTGGTAAAAGTTTAAACAGAAACAATACTTTCAAAAAACATTTGATATTATATATTTACAAGATATCTGTTTAACGATGTTTTAGAAGTCTAAAAGTAAGAAGGAGTACACAAACGAACGTACATCACTTCTCGTAAACCTTCTAACCGGCAACGTTGTAACGCTAGCTCCTATTGGTCTATTCCCGGTGACGTCAAAAATTTTAAAAAATTCATAACTCTGGCAAATGAACAAATGAATAGATAAAAAAAAATTAAAAAAATGTAGCTCTATTTTCATCTCTATTATTCATAAAAAAAATTCAAAATTTTTGAACATGCCCCATTATTATTATTATTATTATTATTATTATTATTATTAAAACAATCTAGTAACAGTAGTGTTAAATGTGATTATATGATAGGTGGTTGCTTAAAATTATATTTTACCTTCAACCAGACGACTAAATTCCTTCATTCTAGGTCCACATAAACAAAAACAGTTGTTGTTGATAACTGATCTCAATGACGAATAAATGAATTTTCTAGACTTTAAATTAATCATTTAAATTTATTCGCTATCGATCTTTTTAATTGCCTTAATTAATTTCTACAAATGCAATTTATCGACGTGGAGAAGAAATAATTAAATATTTATTTTCTAAATATTAAAATGTAATTATACTTGCGATATAATAAATAATAAAGCTCCGTGTAAAGAAAAATAAAATATACAACCATACTTTTGCCTTTATTTTTTATTTTAAATTCTAGGATCTCTAAATTAGTGCTTTCCATCCTATTTGGACTGAGTCACCCGCGGGAAAACTCGTAGGCTAAAACAAATGAGAATTTATTTAAGTTTGAATGAAATACCTAAAGTAAGTGAAGTATTGGCATTACTTAGACTAAACCATATAGGAGTTCTTCACATAGGTAGACCTGTTCATATCAAAACATTTAGACCCTTTATAACTTGGGCCTATTTAAAAATATTTGGGCTCTTTATTTTTGTTTCAAATACAGATAAGAGTTCCATTCTAAAGTTTGTTTGAGAAAAAAACCTGATCCAAAATTCAAACTTCAAATCGAAAGTTTACATATGTAATTATCTTACTTCGGCTACTAAATCTGTTGGTCGACATAATGTGTTTAATTGGAATTGGACGTTTTTTGTTGTAAAAATTTAGTGCGTTAATAGTAGCTGGACCAGATAAGGAACTATGATAAACTTCACGATTGTCTTTACTAGAAATTTCAATAGATATTGCAATTTCTTTTGCTTTTTCAAAAGAAAAGATGATTACAGCACCCCCTTATAATTTTCGGACAAGGATATCTCAAAAAGTAATTTTTTTAAAAAATTAAAATTTTGAAAAAATATATTAGGCAATAATACCTAGAATACCCAAGTAACACAAAACTCTACTACTAGCAAATAATGCTGGCACAAGCATTAAATGCGAAAAAAAGGCCAAAGATTAGCCCGTTTTTAGCATTTGATTAAGGCTTTATTTGAGAATTCGTTTGAAGTAGTCAAATCGCTTTGACTACTAAATATAAGAGCGAATTGGCATTTATTGCCAACAGGCTAGTTGGCATTTAAATTAGAATTATTGCATACATTAATGCCTCATTTACTGCTTGCTAACAACTATGCTTTGAAGTCATATATTGGCATTAATCTGGATTTTAAATGGCAATAAAATCAAAAAAAAAATCACCAAATATTGCTAACCTCAAATCCTTTTTGTGGACTAAACAGCGTCATGGAAAAAAATACTGTGCTATTTGGTAAAATATCAAAATTCAGAAAATTTGGACGGACCGGTGCATATAATAGGCGCCTAAATAAAAGTAAACAAAGTGTGCATCCAAATAATAAGAAATTGGGTTTCAATATGGTCCAGCTTCCTTCTTCGTCTCGCCAGGATAATACTCGTCAAATATCTACTAAGGAAATCGATAATCAAATTATAGATGAAGTCAATTTTGAATTTATTGATTACGAGGACAGTGACAATTCTGAGAATAATGATAATATAGTGGAAAGTAACGTTCAGCTTTTGCGGCAATGGGCTCTGAATTTTAACATACCACATACTGCACTGAAAGCTTTATTGGGAGTGTTACATAAAATGAATATAGAAAACATACCAAACGATCCCAGAATTTTACTGGAAACACCAAGAAAAATTACCATTGAGCCAATGGGAAATGGTCAGTATTGGCATGGGGGACTTGGTAATGCAATGAGAGAAATATTTAAATTAAATCAACATTTTCCTGATGAGGTACTTTTAAACTTTAACATTGACGGACTGCCCATACATAATAGTTCTAAGAAACAAATTTGGCCAATATTATTTTCAGTGGAAAATATGAACATACCCCCAAAGAGCATTGGTATTTTTTATGGTGAAACGAAACCACCGTCTGCAACTGAATTTTTAGAGAAATTTACTGTAGAATTATTATCAATTCTCCAAAATGGAATCATAATAGGTTCTCGAAAAATTTTAGTTCGAATCAGATGCTTTATTTGTGACACTCCTGCTAGGTCGCAATCTTATACGCAACCTTAAAATTCTAATAATTAACATAACCTCACAAATTTTAATTTTTCAAGCTTCCAAGCAGCACATTCGGTAGCCAATTAGCATACAATGCCAGTGAACTTTATTTTGGCATCGGTGACTGCTTAGTTGACACTCCAGACAAACATGGATGACCCGTTCATTTACGACTTTAACTGTGTTGTCAAAACGTCTGAAAATATATAGATACCAAGAAAAATTTAGATATTTTAATTGAACCCTACGAGGTGCCCCATTATTAATGCACAATTACTGGATAACAGTTTATTATCGTGAAATCCAAAAAAATGTATAAACGAAGAAGGCTTTTTAGAAATGAATACAATAGTAGTCTGTGCAACAAGAGGATATGATTCTCATATCGCACGAAGACGAAATTTGAGCACGATGACAGAGTGCTCAATCGTCTGAGTGCGATATGGACAATCCACTCGAGTTGTACAGTATATTTTTTCTACGACCCACTTGAAAATCTACAAATTTTAAAAATTAATTTAGAGGTTAATAAGATAAAATCAGAATTTGAATAATAATTTATAACTTTTTCTAATTTATAAAATAAAATAACTTTGTAAAAAAAAACATTTTTTACCTATTCGGGATTCGAACCGCTGACCCCTTGCATGCCAGACAGGTACGCTAATATCTGAGCCAATTACACTTATGACAATATATTATTTAAAACTGCTAATTAAACTGCTTTTAGATAGTTTAATTAAAATTTATGATTTATTTGTAAATATAGACGAAATATCTTGTGAACTATTATTTTTTTATCGATTCTACACAATAATCACTCGTTTTTAATTACATTTAATCTCAACAACTAAAAAATATAGTGCCAATTAGTTTGACAGGATTGTCACTTATTTAAAATATTAAAAATAATAGTAGTTGGGTGTCCAAAATATGAACTGTGATTGGCGGATTTCATTTTCAGGCAGTTTTCTTATAAGGTAGAATGGATATGAAATATATTTGTTCAGTTATCGGGCACGGTGGTGTAGCGGTCTATCGCGCTTATATTCATTTATAGGCAAGTTTATGAGTCTGAGACTGCTGGGTTTCGAATCCCAGACCAGATCATGTGGATTTTTAATTAAATTGCATGGTTCGGTTTAGGATTTGATGTGTGGCGTATTAATAGAAATTCAATTTCTGTTGATATGACATGCAGATTAAAAAAATTCGCCATACATTACCGTCTCGATGATGGTGGGTGAGGTTTTCCGGGTTTTCCTCACCTGTAAGTCAAATGGCACCATCAATCATCTTTAAGTCGCCCCGGAGCGCCACGGCAAATAATAATAATAGCCGTCCCTTTCCCCGGACAAGCTCAGCTTTTGGGGTTAAAATTCACTCGTAAGGGGGTGAATTAGGGAGAGTATTATTATTATTATTAGTTGAACGCAATGGCCTACTTTTTCGTTTTTTATTCTGTGCGTAGATTAGCTAATATCCATGTGGGTGCAGAAAAAAATATTTTTTAATTTTTGACCTATTTTTTTTCGTGAAACATATTTTCCTTGTCTTTAAAATGAATGATGAAGAATGCCGAGATATGCGTCACGTTATGTATCTCGTTGACGATATCTATTTTAAAATTATTTTCAGATATACAGGATAAAAAAAATGCAGAAGCAATATATTTTTATTCATCTTAAAAGTCTCATCATGTTTGACGGCATGTTAGTGTAAATTAAAGTTAGTGTGAATTTAATACAAAAGTGGCGTCAATTTCCAAAACATCAAGGTGTCGATTCTCGACTTTATAGTAGAATTGATATTGATTAATGTCATATTTCCTTTGCTAATTTGACATTGGTTAATTTTATATTTTCATTGCTAATATGACAGAATGAAGTCAAAAATGTCATGTCAGATATGTCATAGTTGTACCTAGGAACAATTCTTTAGTCGATAATTTACTCCCCTGGGTATATCACAGTGACAGTGACCAGCGTGTATCGTTAGAAATAGTTTTAAAATATAGTCGTCAACGATAAGTACACCTTTCGTATTTAATAAGTATATTTCCAACAATTACGTACTAATATAGGATATCCGGCATACAGAGAGGTAAAAATAGATAAATACCTACAAAGATTCGTAAAAAAAATATTTTTTTGGTTTTAGTCCGATTTACTTTACAGTAAAGTATCTGCGATAGATTTGTGAGAATTTTCATTACTAATGAGCGACGGAATTATTTTGAACTCGCAATTATCAAAACTTGTTTAATACCTATTAAGTAAATTACTATAGATTTGTTCTATTCTCCTCAACTATCCTAGAGTTCATCGACTATCCTAAAGTTGCGTTTCTTGATTTAATGGATATAGTATACCTAGTTAGGTATCCATTACATGAATTACCTAATATGTTTGTCAAAAAGGAAACATAAAATATTATGTTTAATATCAACTATACTATAATTATTATAAAAAAAAATATAAATTAATTTTGACAACACCGCATTTGATAATATCACAAGCTAACTTATAAATCAAGCTTTTTATTAAATACGTAATGGCCCGTTTATATATAAGAACTATTTCATGCATATTTAACAAATAAGTAAGATTCGCAATGATTTTGGGTGACTCATGTTGTTAGAGTTGTTGAGGATGGGGTAAAAACTAAAGAAAGAAGTTGGAATAAACTTTACTAAAAACATGTGGTTTTATTTATAACAATATCAAAGACAAGTGACAAGTGAAGTTATAGGTTAAGTTATATAATCTTCTTTTTCTTCTTATTTCAAATATGTTTCTACACCCTCCCTATTTGAAATAAGTCCCTGACTTTTCACACACTTCAAAAACTTTAGTCTGTCCAGAGGTTTTGTCAACGAATCGGCAATCATGGATTGAGTAGGCACGTATTTTAAAATTAAAAGTCCATCATTTATTTTTTCC